CGTTTGTAATAGATCCCGAGCAGGGAAGCGCCAATGCCGCCAATAGCAATCCATTGGTTGGCGCTGAGGCTAAAAAGGCCGCCGCTCTTTGGGCTTTCACCTTCTGTAGTCGGGGCTGGCTCAGGGGCCGCTGTGGCGACTTTTTTCGCTTTCTTTTCCGCGTGATAAGCCTCAGCCGATTTCTTCTGTTCTTCCTGTGCCAGCCACCTTCTTTCGGCAACCATTTTTCCGGCGGCCACATGCTTGGGGTTTTTTTACGCACTGCGTGGTTGCAGTCGGAGTTGTTGCTTGCTGTGTGACATCAGCAGCAGGCGCTGCCTTGGTCTCTACCTGAGGCGCAGTGACGGCAGCAGGCGCACTCTCAGATTGTGCGGTTGACATTGAAGTGAACCGTATTATAAGCAAATGAAAAAAGTTTAATTGTTAACAATTTGGCAGCAAGACCTCAACAGTTGCTGATGATTGGTGACGAGTTATTCAGCAGTTGATGAGCCAGGTGCTTCATCAACGCCCTCAAGCGGATAGCCGTGTTCATCAGGAGAAGGGTGGATCTTCTCCGGCAACTGTGGACTAAAATCAATATTTTTTGTGGTGATCAGTGCCGCGTTAGCCGCGGCAAGAAAACGGCCGCACTTCAAAGCAAGGTTGCCGGCCAGATTGGAGAGCTCTTTGTTCAAGATGTAGTCGTTTCTGAGGTCTTTCTGATAAGCGTCGATGTCTTTGATTTTGACGGTCATTCCGACCACTTTGGTTGCAAGAAAAATGAAGCTGTCGATCAGGCTTTCTGTTGTCTTTGAGCCCACGTATGTCTCGTAGCGCTTGGTGAATTTCTCGACCTCTTTGTCGCTCGGGCGCTTCACCTGCTCGTGGGTCAGCTGCATTCCGATAGCCTCTTTGGCTTTGCCTGTGGACACGAGCACGGCCAGCTGCTCGCGAAGAGCAGGAATGTCAGGTCTGGGGGCGGTTGGAACAAGGACACCTGCGGGACCACCCAACGGCTCGGGCTCGGTTTGAAGAAGGTTCATAACATCTTCTAACGTGGCGTCTTCTCCAGCCATTGTGCAAGGGCTATATATACAGCTTTCATTTGTTTATTCAATTAACTTTACCCCGTACGGGTGGCGAAGCGCGAACACAAGATAAGAGAACTTTCACTCTTTCAGCTTTGAAATCAATCCTCTGTACTCATCCGGGGAGAGTTCGCCAGCGTAATCATCGAAGATGGCTTTCATTGTCGTGGCCGAGTGGGTGTAAAAGAGGATGGTTGCCACGACATTCTCCCGGAAGGAAGATGTTATGCCGGTCAACTTCTGGGTCAGCGCTTAAATGATGATGCCAATATGCTGGGCAGAAAAGGCGAGATTCACCAGCTCGCCTGTGCACCCTTTCACATCTTTGGAGGCAGCGCAGTCGTCGAGGATTATGAGCGTGTTGGTGCCCACGAAAAGCCATCTCACGAGCTTCAACCACATTTCCATGTCATGCTGTTCGCAGACTATCACATCTATTCTTGGATCGTTTTTGCCAAGCCAGTGGTAGGTCTTGTTGTGTGTGAACGTTGGGCAGATGAGCACGATGTAGTTGAACTTTCCACAGGAAGGGCCGTAGAGCTGGTCCACCACGAACCTTGATTTGCCAGAATTTGTTGGCCCCACGATGAGGGCGTTGAAGGGTATCTTGCTTGGGTCCATGTTATATTCCCCCCTGTACATCAACCATCTGACCATTCATAATGTTTAACTGGGAGTCGGAGATGACGAATACGTGGCATTTTACGTCGCCTGCATCTTTTTGGGGGGATTTTTTCCGCGCAATTTCCAGCTGGTCACCGTCCGTACTGTTCACAATACGCGTGCCGCTGCTGTGCATTTCTTGGTTAACCATGGAGCGCATATCAATCACAAGCCCGAACTTATCACCAGTGTAAAACTTTGTCATATCCATGTGCTCCGTTTTGTTTTT